CTTCGTCACGAAATTGAGGCCAAAAAACATAATTGGACGGCTTTGAGCTGCAGTGGTTCTTATGACAGGCATCCGACCTGAAAGACCTGCGGCACTGGGAGGATGAGCCATTTGGCATACCATGAAATGCTTTCGCGAGATGTACGCATGCGAGGTGGCAATTGTTAGTAGCTGAGCCCGCAACGTGTTTTCGTGCAAGTCCTGCTACTTTATCCTGAGTTGGGGTCGATCGTTGGAAAATCCCTGATAGGCTCTAGTGCTCGCACATGCAGAAGTTCCTGTGAGTTCTTTCCAAGGAGAGGTGCCGGCTGGATTGTGAGTACATCAGGCCCTGAGCTGTCAGAAGACAGCCTGTCGGCTGTCGGGCTTGTCAGATTTCGTTGGTCATTGTCCAAGCACTGATCAATCTGTGAGCTGGCAGATGTACGAAGGCAAAACTGCGTGGTTCAGCATCAAGAAGTGGACAACTGAGATGCATAAGTTGTTGAGTCTTGATTTGTCAGAATGCCCAGTTGAATCACTAGTCACTAGGCGCCGCCTGGGGTTGACTGCTTCCTGACACCGAGGTGGGGATCATGGCGGCTCGCATACCTGCTTGCGCGACTCCAGCGCACGCTTTGGATCGACAGCCAGATCCTCATCGATGTCTTGACTCCGCGTCTAGAGTCCGCGTTTTCGGGGATGGCTAATTCTAAAGCTACTTCACCCGCCTCGGCCTGACTGACTGAGTCTCGAAATTGGACAAACGCGGGCCCACGGGAGTGAAGAAGTTTGACTGGTTAGAAGCAATACCAGTACATGAGTCATTTTAACAACCAGGTGGCTGTCGGTGAGGGAGAGGGGGGACCGAAGGGAGCGGGAAGAGGGGGGTTGAGGGGGGGGAGGGGGGCGGGGACTGTCAGAAAAGGAACCACAATAGGGGAAAGGGCAAGAGAGATCTGTGGGAGGTGGGAGGCGGGACAGGGGGTCGAAATTGTGGGCCAACAGCGGAAAACTTTCGGGGAGGAGGATGAGGAGGAGGGCATTTAGTTTAACCCCCAAGACGCCGGCGGCCACAATGCTTCAATCTCGGCCCATCTCCGCACAAAGGACATGGTGCTCCTGAAGCCACATCCTGAGATGAATGTGGCAGTATGTTTGCTCAGCAGGAAGTCCAGCTTCTTGGCCAGGCGTCGGCCAAGAAGGGCGGCCGCGGACGTGGCCGGCCTGGCCGGCCAAAGAAAAGCCTGGAGGCCGAAACCGAGCCCTTGTGCCGGAGCAGAGCATCCACCCCTACCGGAGGCAGTGCCCAAAGAGAAGGCGGTGTCACAGGCTGCTTGCTTCCATGCTGGCCAGTGAAAAACCCACGACAGACCTGATGGTAGCAGGCGCGCGAGTCCAATTCAGATGCAGAAGCGCTGCGCTCAGTATATAAGTGCAGCACAGTGCTGCCGAGTTAAGTGCAACACCAGTACGAACCGCGCCACAAAGCCCGGGAAGGTGCACGTTGTGGATGCAGAAGAGCCAAGGGATTACAGTCCCCAGCTGCGACGGTCAAAGGACAGCGTCGAGCTCTGAGCTTCTAAAGTTCTACAGGATTTTAATCCATGAGATGCTCATCCAGTGAGCATGGTACCCGTGCGGAAGGCCCAGTCGAAGAGGAGTGCCGAGGCACACGTTTTCGTGCGCAGAAACTAGTGCGAGGAATGTCACAGTCGTGAGTCGTTTGATGTGCAGGCTGCCTTCGGGACGACGAAGGCAGCGCAAGCATCTCCTGTTGCGCTCTCAGTGAGTACAGCTGTTTTCGGCAATTGGGGGCTGGCCCCAGCTTTGTGGAGTTTGCTTGGTGTCAATGTTGCGGCGTGATTTCGCAGGAAGCCTCTTTGCAAGGATAAGCCAGGTGGCAAGGTTCTGCACGATGCATGGCAGAACCCCGAAGGGCAGTGTTGCTTGTTCCCACGCTTTTTTTTTGGTCGCTGTCTTTCAGAGTGATACCTTGTGTTCGTGTGTGTTTGTGTGTGTGTGTGTGTTTGGCGTCCGCGTGTGTGTGCACCTCCTGTACCAAAGCATTCAGGACGTAGGAATTAGGACATAAGGTCTAACCAAAAAGCGGGGATCAGCTTTCTCGAGATTATCGGGGCTTTCGGAGGACGGTGGTCAACGAAGACACCCCGGGCAAGCCCGTCTAAATGTACCTGCGAGAAGATGTAACAATCTAGCACACAGTAAGTAAGGATCACTGGTCTGCAAGTGTGTTTCCGGGAATACATCTGAGTTTTCAGAGTACATCTGTCAATCCTGCTGCAGACCCTAGCAGCCTCTACAAGTTTTGGATCTTCCAACATAACTGTTATTCTCTGAAAGACCACCCGCCTGGCAAGAAAGCTCCGTGCAAGACCTCAGTTTGTCGGCGCTAAGGAGTAGACACACAAACATCTGTATCGTCTATCAATTCTTGTTCCAACCTTTATGTGTTTCGCCGTGGCGAATTACCTTTTTGTACATCCTTCAGCAAGAACCAGAAGATGGTCATTCACACATTGCGTGATTACGTGCAAGAGCAAGCAGCTGACATGCACCTCTGTTGCATTGTTGGGGGTGTTTTCTTCGATCAGTCGTCGTCGTCGTGTGGCTGTGTTGCTGCTGTTCGTTCGTTTGTCGTCTTTGTTGTGCGTGTAGATGTTGCTGCAACTACAGTTCTTTTGCTGTTGGCTGTTGTGTCGTTCGGTCATCGTCGTCGTTGTTGTATTTTGATGTCGTCGGCTTCACTGTTGGTGTGTGTGCCACCATTTAAGCGTCTGCACGGGACTGCGCATTGTGTCTGCGTGGGCCTGTGCATTGTGTATTCGCAATCTCTTGACTCAGTGTTCATCATGTGTTGCAGGCCAATGCACTTTTGAAGCTTACCGGCCAGTCCGATGGTGTGCGCTCGTGTGTGTGTGTGTGTGTGTGCACTTCTCTCGTACATGAGATAAGGGGTTCACAACCCTTGCGCTTGCTCAACCTGCAGCTTCACATGCAATCAAGATCATGTCGGCATGAGCGCTGACTTTTCGCCAGAAATTTGATTTGCAGGGGAGTGTGGCACTTGCATCCTACCGCATTCAACGAAGCTGCGGATGCAAGTGGGAAGCAAGACCAGATCAGTCTTGTGTATCTGCCTTCGGATTAGCCAGTGGGGCCCTTGTTGCACTGGAGTAACCAACGCTGGAGTGGAAGCCTGCATGCTCGCTACAGTCGGTCCTGCACAATGGCTCCATGTACATGACCTACATGACACTACTGTATTGCATGCTTTGCAGCCGCTAGTGTAACGTCCCTTGTGGACATCCATCCGAAAGTGCAGACAACGGCTTCCGTCACGGCGCCGTGGTGGTCTCCATCGGAGGCAGTCCTCGTTAAAGGGATCTGTTTACGCCCTTCGGGGACCCTCTCTCTTTCTCTCTCTCCCGCTTGACTCGTTCAACATGTATTCATGAGGCCTTCGTGCTGAGTCCGAAGCCCCCTTCATCTGAGCTCACGGGACCCCTCTTGTCCAGGTCCGGACAAGACATGTGCAGGTCGGCATGTGCACCTGTACTAATATTGGGTCGCCACCCACGCTGAGCGTGCCAAGTGTGATTAGCTTACAGCGCACACATGGCAGGCCACAGCCACAGAGATGGGCCCAGAGCAGAAATGGCAAGAGGATCAGTGGTCGTTGCAGAGGAGGAACTCAGCGATAAAGGCTGATGTATACGGACGACTTCGGCATAAACAACTTCCGGGACAGAATCAAAGGTTGGAGTGGCTGTCCTTGTCGATCTTCAGAAGCGTTGGAAGTGCCAACCGCTTGGCTGCCATGCAAAAAGCCGGCTGGGTAGAGTGATGCTGCAAAGTCAGAATGAGCTGGTACAGAAAACTGCAAGGCTAGTTGAATGCTGCACCTAATAGATAAATGATGCATGTACTGCACAGCTCAGCTCTTGTTTTGTATAGACTCGCAGCTTGCGTGCGGATACCTCGCCATCTGATGGGCAGGTCGCCTCGGCTATTCAACATCGACAGCAACAACAACAGCAGCAGCAGCAGGGTTTGTCGAACATCTTCTTTGCAGGCTTTGGGTCAACCAAAATCTCCTTCTAGGGTCTGGGGTTTCCCAACCTTTCCGTTTGTTTAGGGTTTCAGCATCTCCCGTTAGGGTTTGGGGTTTGTCAACAGCAGCTTCTTTGCAGGCTTTGGGTCAACCAACACCTCCTAAAGTTGCGGGGTTTGGGGTACCCAAACATTTCTTTTGTTTAGGGTTTCAACGGTTTCAACATCGTTTTGGGGTTTGGAGTTTGTCAATGGCACCTTCTTTGTAGGCTTTGGGTCAGCCAACAGCTCTTTTTAGGGTTTGGGTTTCCCAGCCTTTTCTTTTGTTTACGGTTTCAGCATCTCTTTTTCGGGTTTGGGGTTTGTCAGTGGCAGCTTCTTGGCAGGCTTCGGGTCAAGCAACATCTCTTTTTAGGGTTTGGGGTTTGTCAATAGCAGCTTCTTTGCAAGCTTTGCGTCAGCCAACACCTCCTTTGCGGGATTTGGGGTTTTCCAGCCATTCCTTTTTGTTCGGGCCTAGGGTTTCAACATCTCGTTTTAGGGTTTGGGGTTTGTCAATATCAGCTTCTTTGCCGGCGCTGCGGTGCCCGCGGCCCGCGGTCTGCGGGCTGGGGCCTGGGGCTGTGCGGCCCACAGCATGCAGCCCGCGGCCACGCCCGCGGACACCGCAACAAGATGTACACGCGGCCCGCAGCCCGCCGCGGCCACACCCAAAGAACTTAGGACGTAGGATTTAGGGTATAAGATCCAACCAAAAAAAGGGGGTTCAACCCTCTCGAAACCACGGGGGCCCTGGGAGGCGATGGTCAGCAAATATCCCACCGGTCAAGTTTGTGAAAGCGTACTTGTTGGAACATGTAATCATCTGGCACAAACAGCATCCATGTACGCCAGGATGACTGGTCTGCACATGTGTGTGTGTGTGTGTGAGCCTCGCAAGCTTCAAGGCGATTGGAGTGGCCAAAACGAGGCTGTGCCAGCACAGGGAGATACAATGTTCCTGCAGCTTGCTGGCGCTTTCGTCTGCCTGCGGCAGGATCCCGACGCGTGCTGAGCTTCAGGAGATGGCTGTTTCCAAGCGCTTGGTGGACTTTGCACCTAAGCTCGAACAAGTTGTGCCATGGTGCGCGCAGTTTCAGAGCACAGCTTCTTGCAGCTTTCGGCACGAGGTTCGGGCCAAGAAGTGGCCTTCCATCCTCTCTCCAGCTTGGGAGGCGCGGCTGACAGATGGAAGGAAGTGTGCTTTGGTGTTCGTGCCAGGGCCAGCGTTGGAGGAAGCTGCTGGAAGAGGTCGCCAAGGGCGCTTTGTCCGAGGCAGCCTTAGTGGACGAGGCGAGGCTCCCAGGCGCCGCGAGGCTCCCAGGCTCTGTGCGTCCGTGGCGCAGGTGGTGCAGAAGCTGCGGAGGCTCCAGGGCTTCTTGCTCGAAAGGAAGGGCCGAGACCGAAAGGCTAAGAGCGGCTAGGAGGATGAGGACGGGAACGCCGGTTGCTGGCGCTACCGGCCGCCGCGCCGGCAACCAGTGCTACTAGTCTTACCACTGCATCGGGAGATGACGACACGGTAGATATGGACAGTAATGACACGGAAGCGACGTCGTCTTGCTGTCACATTTCTTTACGCAGAATTAGCAATGCATTGCTAGCTTGCAGGCAAGTTTCCGGAGAGAAGCTCACGAACTCGCGGAGTTTGCCTCAGATGATTCTGCCAGCGAGTTACCTCTTCGTGCATTGCGAAACGGCAGAGCTTGGATTGTTTCAGGCTTCAAAGAGCACAACGCCTGGCTGATGAGAAAGAGCGCATGCGACGTGAGGTGGCTCGTCAGCTTTGCAGTACTCGTAGCATGCAGACGGTTTCAGCTGCTCATCGCTCAAGGCGGAGCGTGTCAAGGCAGCGAAGTCGCAACACGCAGCCTTCCAAGCGACATGGCAGGCCGGGCGGAGGGATCCGATATTTAGAGGGATTACAGGGCCATGACCTGAGCTCGTGCGAAGGTACCAGGCTGTACATGTGGCCATCCGATCCACACCGAGCGGTGCTGGGCTCAGCCATAAATCTGTGAGAGATGCAACGAGCCAATACCAAGTCGTCACAATCGTTTTTGGTGAAACTGAGCTGCCACTACACTCATTGATTTTGGGAGGGCTCTCCAGGCGAATCACACGTTTCGGACCGAAAGTTGACCCTGATAGACTCAAGTTCAGAGCAATGTCGCAGACAAAACGTTAAACATACACACCTTTTGCAGTGCCATGTCCAGAATCTCATTCGATAGTGGCGCTTCATTGCTGTTGGAGTTGCTCTTGCTTGTGTGGATCGGGTCTGTTTAGTTCTTTTTTGGGGGGGCGAGGGCGGCTTCGCATCTGATGCATTCCTCGAAGCTGCGAGCAAAAACATTTCAGATATTTTGAGCCAGCGAGCATGCCCTAGCAGGAGAGTATTTTTCCGCTGCTTTTGTTGTCCGTATGATATTTCTCACCCCGGCTGAAGTGTGCGGGGGTGAATTTGTTCAGGATATGTTGTGTTGTTGTTGGCACTGCGTTCCTTCTCGGAGCAGTTACTATATTTCCAGGGTCTCAGCTTGGATGACGTTGCAGTGGACGATAGCACAACCTTGGAGCTGGAAGCTGCATGCAGGTAGTTGCACAACAGCTGCTCCGATGCACGAGCTTCAGGTGCAAGCTGTTTCGTCCTCATGCTGCCGAGGCAGATTTGAGAGCGTTCCAGAGCTGGTAGGGCCAGCATCTGGCGTGGCTTGTGTGAGCCAAAACTTGACGAAAGCCTTCTTGCAACTGTCAGCGGGGCCCTGGGCCCTAGGCCTCCCTGGCTAATGATTCAGAGCCCGCCCCTTCGGCATGGACAAACCAAACGAGAGCAGGAAGACTGCACACCAAGACCTTCCTGTGAAAGAGGATCCCCGATGTTCATTTTAGTTCTGGAAGAGCCGAGTAGGCTTTGGGTGCAAACTTGTTGCCTTTGTTTCAATAATGTTACTGACTTGGAAAGTTTGGGGCAAGTGAATAAGGCCTGTGTTCAGTCTGTTGCGGTGTCCACTGCGTCACTTCGACTGGATTCCAGCTCCTCCCTGTGCAGACGGCCACGGCCGGTCCAAGTCGGCCTCCCGGCAGTCGCCTCAGGGGCAGCGCTTTGTTGGCTTCGACACTTCAGTGTGCGAGTTCTAGCGGGCCGTTTGCATCGCACAAGCAGGTCAGCAGGAGCAGCATGCAAATGCAGAGCCGCAGCCACCACCATCTCTGCCGAGCCCCATGTCGCAGTGGGCACAGAAGGAGGCTGAGATTTCCGTTCAGTCTGCAGGCCCCTGGCCCCTGGATGCCCCTGGCCCACGTCCCTCCTTGCCAGGTCTCCCGGCTCGCCGCTGAGATTGCTTCCCAGCCGGCCCTCGAGCAGAAAGTGCTCTGGAAGAAGGCGATGCTGAGGCCTCGGTCTCGGGTGCGTCGTCAAGTGCCAGGCTCTTGTCACTCTTGTCCCATCGTCCCACGTGCGCGAAGACCCTTAAAGAGGGCCCACGTCCTGAGTCTTCCAAACAGCATTCCAGCTTTTTGCGAACACTTACGGTCTTTCTGTGGCACGCATTCCAGGGTCTCGCACACGCATTGCCATTGGGTGGCTCCGTCCGGTTGGAATCGAGCAGCTCGGATGTTTCCACTCGGCATCCGACATTTCACGGACGAGTGAAAACTGTCACTATCATCAGGGTTACGGGGTGATGTTGTTTGCCATGGCGACCACTGCCGGGTTGTTGGTGAGTTGGGGCAGTGTCGCAGCGCTAGCTATGCCTGAGCACCCACTCAAGGCAAGTCCCCCCTCCTGAGTTCGAAGACGTGAGACGAGTTCCTCAGTCGGAAGGTGTTTGCCGCCTGTGCCCGTTTACAATCCTTTGCAGGTACCATCCTGACAAGCGGCAGATGCAGTCCGAGCTTGGTGCAGCCACGGCCACGGACAGGCAGCTCGCAGAGGCTCTCATCACATGCCATGCCATGCCATGCGATGCTTTTCCGTGCCCGGGGGCATGTGCGGGGATGCCCACATGCTCCATGGCTTGCTTTAGCGGCAGGTCCTCATGGAAGTGAAGCGGCGGTATGAGTCCTTGTAGAGGAGACCTGCGAGAGAAAATAGCTAAACCAAGTTGCCTTTGGTGTGCCTGAGCCATGCTGTCCAAATATTTCTGGCCATTGATATTCTCTAGCACTCCGTGTCTGCGCATGGTGAATCCGGGCAGCAGCGGGACTTGGAAGCCCAAGCTGGAATGTGTGGGCATCTGGGAGCTGAAGTTCAAACACCGAGACGTCGGGTCAGGTAGTGATGGGATTGCTGAAAAAGCTGGCGCCACGAACCGATAAACCCTCGGATCGTCCGCCCTCTTGGCAAAACGATCACGGGAAACTTAGCTGGAAGGATGTTCTTGAAGCGGACGGGGAACATGTGGATTGGAGCTCGTTGGAACAGCCGTCGAAGAAGCAGGGACAGTGCTTCCAGCGCACTCAGCTCAAGCTGCAAGGTAATGGCAAGCCACAACATTCTACACTGCAGTTAATCTGATTACATGAAGGTAATTCAGCATTCGGTAAGCCCACCTGACCTGAGGGATCCTGAGGGTAAAAGCGAAGTGTCCACTCTTCCCAGTTGCAGTCTCACGGACACCACAAGCGCCTCGCCATGTCGAACACCTTCCACTCGGCTTAGGCCCTCGCACTGGTGTGGTGACAGTCATGCATTTGTCTGCAGCCGACTGCGTTGGCAGTCAGCCCAGATGATGAGTGGGCCAGGCAGTTGTAGTATTGATTGGCTAAGAGTGGTCTAAACCTTTTTGTTCACCTTCTATCGTCCTTGACCAAAGTAAGACTAGTTCAGTCGTTTGGGGTTGGCAGTATCCCAAGTCATGCTCCACTCCTCGAGGTGAAGCCGAGCTTTGGGTTTTTTTTGAGCATGCTTTGCAGGCTTAACTTGGACTTGCACATGAGCGTTCCTGGCTCAGAGCTACTTTGTGTGCCTGCTCTGCGGACAATGAAGACCGAGCCAGTGCAGGCAAAACCCATCCTCGTGTTTTACCACGTTCCTGGTGATGGGGACGAGGCGCTTTCGACGTTCGCGAAAGGGCAGGATTGAGGAGTCACAGGTCCTGTCATCTTCGGTCATGTTATGCAGAAACCCTTCTCAGATCGGTTCGCGAGGCAGAGATGCCGAATGCTTTCCCAGTCTTAAAGGCTGATGGACACATCCTTCTGCAGGTTCGGCTGTTGGGGAACAAGCTTGGGTGAAGTGCAGATAGTTGAGCCTGGCCTTCTCCAGTGGAGATTCTCCAGCATGCTTTGCGAAGGACATCCGCAGCAAGTTCCCGCTTCCGGGGACGCATCTTTGGCCAGTGTTGCTATTGCGTTTGCAACCACCGCGAAGCAGTGCCATACTTCAACACGGACGTTTCTGTCTACGTGTGTGAAAACGTCTGTGCATACATCTAGACGCGCACATATATATACACACACACACAAACACAAAAAAACACGTTTGGGCTGCCAGGTTTGATTATTTTGATTCACATGCCATATTGGTCCAGATTTTTGCGTCAAGCCGCACACACAAAGTTGGGGTTGTCGCCTGATCCCCCAGCCACAGCAGTTCAGATGTCAACGAAGCTTCATTCCCGACAGGGGAGTTCGCATAGTTCAAGATTCGTCGTAGCAGCAAAACCAGAGATGCACGCCACTGCTGACGATTTTCGATTTTGTAGACCTGCCAGCGCATGCCAGAGAGCTCGGAATATCTCCCTGACAGAGCAGCGGCCACAAATCCACAGCATGGTGCGAGGGTTCGACAGCTTCGATGAAGAATCTTCACCAAAAAACGGCTTGTGTTCAAAGTGCTCGAAACATCTACGTGGTTTTCAACTGGTACCAATCTGCACCGCATGGGACTTGCGACCACGCCACATCTCGTTTCGGCGGAAAACGGCTCGGCTTAAGTGCATTCTGCTTCCTCCCGTGACATGTCTGCAGAGCCCACGTGCTTCAGTGTGCCAGAACTGACATCGGCGAATCTTGAGATTTTGTGGCGGCCTAGCCGCAACGTTCACTAAACTTGCCAGGTATCACTTCCGGTTTAAGATGCGATGGGGCCCAGACCCGGCGCATGTTGCGTGGATGGATGTCACGAACGAGGCAAGGCCGCTTGCTGAACAGCGCAGCTTGATCGATGTTTGCCGAAATCTTGGCGAATTGTGGCGAAACTCTGCACTTTTCAGTCCCGAACCAAGCCTTCGCGAAGTGGGCCCTTCGCTGCTGCATCGCACCGTGAGGCCGCACAGGTGCCGATGTTCGACGGCCGGGTTGTGGCAAAGGAGCCATCAAGTCGGTCATGTTGAGAAGATGGTCTCCTTTTCTGCTGCAGGTGACGCGCGTGTGCTGGGAGTCCAAGGCGCTACGAGTTTACGATGCTTTGTGTGCAGATGTTGGTAGGCTCATGTTCTTCACATCGGGGAGCAGCTGCCCCGCTGAGTGGGGTCCGAAAGCTTCCAGCATTGACAGACGGACGTCGCAGCTTTGAATGGCGTGGGCAAGCCGCAGGCCCGAAGTGTCGGCGGCTCCGATCTTGAACGGGTTGTAGAAACGAGCGCAACTCTCGAAAGTGCTCAACCCATGACGGAAATGCTGTTCTGCGAGCAGGCTGCGCCCAAGCCACCGCCGGATGTGCTTTCCTTCGACAGCACTCGCCTCAGACTCTTAGGGATGGTGTCTGCGGATGTTTCTGCTTTGAGCATTTGCCTTCAGAGGAGGTGGAGCCTGGCTTGTTCACAGTTTTGCAGGTCCGGTGGTGGCCCCATCGGCAGCCCCATCAGCGCCCTCGGCGCCGGTCGCAGGTGGGTCACCCTTGATGTCGCCATTGCGCTTCGCAAAGCAGAGTGTTAAGCAGGGAAGAGACGTGCGAAGGCGATAGGTTTTCTTGGGAGTCTGCTTCCAGGCTACGCTTCTGGTCCGACTCCCCAGGCACGCTGCAGACAGTCCACCTTCAGAACTCTCCCAAGTTTGGACAGAGGCCCCGAAGCCGAACGATGACTTCGATATGCTCTTCAGCTGAATGCCTGAAAGGGGTAGAACGACGAGGTCGGAGTACGGAAAGATTGATCTGCAGTTGTGATAGGCTCGTTTTTTTCTGCGAGCTTTCTGATGAAAGCTGTTCAGGCTAGGGAATCGTCGGACAGCAAAGAGATGCGCGGTGCTCACGTTGGCTCGAGGCCCTGTGCCACCTTCCGACCTGGGTAGCGAACCCCTCATACCCGAGCTTGAGCGAGATAGCTCCATGAAAAGCATTTTCAACAAAGTGTGCTGCTTTGTTGGCATACGTTACCACGGCTTTCGAGCACCGCAACGTTGCACGTGCAGTGATTTAACGTTCGTAGCACCGACCTGCTTAAGCAACCCAGTCTCCGCACTTGGAAGACTTGAAATCCATGGCGTTCACACGAGATCATGGCAGCTTGGCTACGGTCGTGACATGATGTTACACCTCAAAAGACGAGGGTAATGTTCTGTTCTTTGCCTTTGCCTGGCAGGCATGGTGCTGTAAGCATATGCACGAGCTGACTTGAAGGGTCGTGCTGGCAGAGCAGCCGGATAGATTCGGATTGTTCTACCCGGAGACAGACTGGTTGATGACTGATGTTTTGGCTGTAGGTACGTGCTGCATCGTACTCCCCTTGAAGCTCGGGGTGTCGTTGGTTGCCATGCTGTGGCTTGGCCTGTGTCAGTTCACCAAGACGGACGAGTGAGATGTGCATCAACACACGAGTTGGCTTTCGACAAGTCCGAAGTTGTGCAGTAGTTTGCACAAGTGCTCGGTTCGACTTGTGCGGCACGAGGGCATTCTTTGACTCCATCGTCTGCATAGTTGCTACACTCACGGGCGACATCCGCTTCCAGCCGAATGGCAGCTCGGATGTGCTTGAATTTCAGAGCTTGTCGAACTCGCTTTGTGAATGAAGTGGTAAGAGTCGAATGAGACGACTCACGACAGAAGTGGTCAGAATCTGAGGCTACAACGAACATTTCTACCGGGTCCCCGTCTTCATCGGCGTCTTTGGAGTTTTTTTCGGCCTTCTGGCCGAATCGAGGGTGGCTGCGTTCCGCTCGTTCGAAGATGTCCGGAACCGGTTTGAGTTCAAGTGCCAGTCAGCTCTCCGTCTTAGGTGTTTGAGGAGGCCACCAGCCTTGTCATGCTTGCAAGCCTTCCGAGGTTTCTCCGGCCTGTTGGGGATCTACGATGACAAACCGTGGGGGCGCCTAATTTGGTGCTGGTATGATTTTAGAAGTCAGCGGGGCAATCCTTTGTCGGCGTCAGAGGGAAAGGGTGAACTCGAGCTGTGCTACCAATCACGTGGGCGTGGCACGTGCCACATGATGCATCAGAGGCAGGGGATCACGCGCCAAGTCACAACAGACCCCCAATTGAACAAGACTTGCAGCTCCTTTTTTTCTCAGAAAAGGGTTTGATCTGCCCGAGGGAATGGCTGCGATGGCTCGTCTACTACCTGGGAGTGAAGCAGGTGGCCCTTCTTGCCACCAGCATCGCCGATTACTCGACGCTTTGGAAATGTCAGGAACCGAGCAATGTAGCACGCCACATCGCAGTCATGCAAGAGGTGTAGATGGGACGTTGAGCTCGGGTCTTTACACCAGAGTTTAGCAGAAGACATCCGACGGCCCAGGCATCGCTCTCGTTGATTGTTTGACCTCTGTGAGGTGAAAGCTGGCCAACATCCTCAGAACGTGCTCGGGAAACCAATGAGCAGCTCCTCCAGTTGGCAGAGGACAGACCCATACAGCCTCCAAGCTGTGCTTCTGCCATGAAGCTCAAAACCTTACAGTAAGCCGCTAGCCCCTCAGCTTCGCATGCAAGCACCCGCAGTGATAGCAAAAGGGAGGACTTTTTTTGCATTTTGTTTGGGGCCTTGATCCTTCAAGAAATGCTTGTGCAATTCGTCTGCACTCGACGAAGACGTTGTCAGAAGCCAAAACAACACATGTAACTCTACACCAAGCCCAAACCCTAAATCCAAAGTCTAGCGTACGTGTTCCTGGGACGCAAGGAACCGGAACCCTAATTTGACCCTAGCCGGCCAGGTTGTTTTTGGCAATGTTATCGGTTAAAGTAGAGATGGACGCCCTCATGCCTCATGAAGCTCAAGATTTGCAGCACTGACCCCAAGCAATCAATGTCGAGCCAAGTTAAGGAGAGAGGGTTAAGTTTCTGGGTTCTGGCTGTTTAGGGTATAGAAAGATTAAACCTTCAACCACCCTTGAAGCTTTAACAAGGTGACATAGCCTTCCCTGTGAGCAGACGCGGCAAGGGGTTGAGGTCAATTCCCCCATTCAGGGCCGCTGATACCGTGCAAGGTCCAGGTCCAGGAGTCCAGAAGCAACAGCTGTCTCGCGGATCGGGCTTCCAGGCTACCCCATCCCTGACTGTTACCACTTTGCAGGCATTTTGCAGCATCAGCTCCAAGATCAGCACTGTCGCAAGAATTGCCTCTCCGAGACCCTCCATCTGTGTGACCTTTACCCGTTCGGATACATTCTTGCACAGCCCACAAAGAACAAGTGTCACAAGGATGCCGGATCCAAGCGCCCTCATCTCTGTCACTGTTGTCATGTTTGACATCAGTCGCGGAAACGACACCTATCAGGGAGTCTGGACCAAAATAGGAGCACACCGGCTCGCGGCCAACAAAAAACGGGCAAACAAGGCAACAAACATAATCAGACGATGTGGCTATGGCTTGGGCCTGGTTGCGAGGAAGACCGCACCCGACGAGACATGAAGCCATTCAGCCCAGGGATGATCCTGCTTTACTAGATACACTGGCACTGGTTCTGGGCCCGATCCCTGGAAAGCCGAAGCATGCTTCGAAGCACGCACTCCGAGCGCTTCTTGGGTCGCCATTAGTCACCTCGTTGCAAAGCTGATTCGCAGGCAGGAGTTTGTCCCTGGGCTCGTCTCGCCTACATCGTGGGCAGCCTGATGGTGCAAGGGCTTCTCGATCAAATGTGGCAGTTCGCATGCATGCTCGATTCATGTGCCCCATGACCGCCTTCTTCCGGCAGCTGCTAGGTTCCGTGAAACTTGTGCGGGCGGAAGGATCGGTAGGATTGTGCAGACTGAACCTGTGACTGAGGTTTTGGGTTTACTGCAGCTTCGATGCAAGCAGCACTCCCTTGTGGTTGCATGCAGGGAGATGCTTTGGTGCACACTACTGCAAGATTGGCGTTGTGCTCAGGCTTTTACCATACCTACTCCTACTGGAGACAGCTGCTCGTCACAGAAGCAAAGCTTGCCTCCCTGATTCTGGAAGCATTCCGTGGGCGGAAAGGTCGAATCCTTTCCGGCCGAGGTAGGCCAGGTAGGCATGGTTTCTAGGTGTGATCTACTTGGGCGAAGGTTGCAGACGAATCCTGCCTATCCGATCGACTTCGGTGCAGAGAAGCACGGTTTGGAGGGCCGCTGGGATCATTTCCAGGTGAAGGACCCTTGTGTAAGCGACCGAATCACACTCCTGTTGAAAGGCATCCTTCGATGCTACCGGATTTGTTTTCATGCAGAGGACCCCCGGCTTCCGGAGCATGAAGAAGGTCTTCCTCTGCTTCCACAGCTCAGAGAGCCTTGTCAACGGTATGGCAAAAAAGGTGTTACGCAGTGGGCTGCTCCATTTCATGCTTCCTCCCGAGGAAAGCGAGTATGGCAGCGCCGAAAAGGCCAAACTCCGTCTCCGAGCTGGAAAAATCAACATGTCTGTCGCATGAACCGTGCAGAGATTCTTTTGTGGTCTTCCTGTTGCCGAGGCTATGGACCTGACGGCCAGGAGATGGGCGACGTAGACATCTGAGTGCTGCGACGAAGGAAAATGGCTCCGTGCAGGCACCTACTATTGACACATGCAATACCAGGCCTTTACCTGTCAAGCTCGAGAATGTCGCATCTCTCTTCCTCTCACCCCTTGATAAATCGCCTGCGACCTCTTGCCTCTGGTGCCAATGACGTTCTGTGTCCGCAGCTTCGAATTCATATTTGTCAAGACCAGAACTCGCTCAGCACAGCACACCTTCCTAGCGAGCATACTGCGCTTTACTACCGGAGGCAGATGGTCACGTCAGGATGATGGACAGTACAGGGTCGTGAAAGGTGTGTAGCCTTCTGCAGAGACAGCCGTGCCCAACATCTCAACAAGAGATGAAGGACTCCCTTGCTGGGCAGGGCCTGCATCCTGTGCAGTTGTGCGTGTTAGCAGTATCGTTCGTTGTCACTGCTGAAGTTTGTCCAAAACCCAATAGCTGAATGTCTACATCAGTCTGCATCGACACAACCGGATCGAAGTGGTTAGCTTCGTGCCTGTAGCCTGACAAATCCTGACAAGCCAGCACTTCACATGTGCTCCGGCCCATGAAGCTACGTCTGGGCACAGCATATGTCGGCCTAAGCCACGGATGCATTACAGCTTGATGCTCCGAGACGCACCATGGCAGGAGCCTGAGGCCGAGTTGCCCAGCCGGAGTCTCGGCAGACGCGAACATGAGGAAGCCTATCGCAGCCAAGTCCACCTCCAAGGTCCAAGGGAGGCACCTTCAGAAGCAGAGGCTGAGGTCCAAAATCTCAAGGAATCTCAAGAGCTCAGAGGAGCTCTGATTCGTCGCCTCAGGTCGCAGCATGGCGAGCGCAGTGGGCCTCACTGAAGGAGGCACGACGTTCTCTTCAAGAGCGACCCCAGGAAGATGGAATCGAACGGCAACAGCAACCCGCACTGGCAATGTCTGGCAGTCAGCATCATTCAAAGACAACTCGAATGTGCAGGACCAGAATCATGCCTTCCACTGCCGCCCAAGCTGCATGGAATATTGGAAGGGAGCTACCGAACAGGCAGCAAGGTGAAGCGACTGAGCGAGCGAGGAAACCCCAGCATCAACGGCCCACCTGTCGGAAGCGGTGATTCCTCGGTTCGCGTGCAGGCTAATGTCATGAGCGTGTGCATTACCCTTGCACGAAGCGCCCAATGCTCTTTTAGCTCTCAATTTCAGCATGCTCCTTCCAACAAATGTCGCCTGCTTCTTAGTCGTGGAGGAAAGCTCAAGGGTCTGTTCTAAGTGCAAAGGACCAGGCTGCAGCACCTGCTCTGCACTACTCTGCAACAGTAACTGGTGTGAGCCGCTATGACCCGCTCGCCGTGACTTCTCAGGAGGCCGGCGAATACGAGGAGGGCTCCTGGGATGAGAGGCACCGGTTCGCAGGGAGGTAGATTGGTAGCGTTGCAGGGCGAACTTGTGGAGATTTGTACAGTTCCTCACTCCAGGGGCTCTGGGGAGAAAGAACAGAATGTCTCTCCTCCTCTCAGACCTTCCCTTGCAGTCCTGCGGTTTCGAACATGTCAACGCAGGTTTGCCTGCCATGATTCAGACCAAGCTCTAGAGAAGCAACTTGGACGCACGGAGCGCTTTTGCCCATCGCGGTAGAAAGCTTCCAGACAAGCATTGCATCTCCCAGTTGGGCCAACAATCTGTGGGCCGGTCTCGCCGATCTGCGGGCCAGCGCCACCAACCCATCTTCTACGCACAGCCCAAAACAGGTAGACGATCCCTGAATGCTCAAGGTCAAGCGATTGCAGACCCCGGAAAGTTCTGGGCCCTCCCAGGGTCAGACGGCGCAGGACAGGGATTGCAGACTGCAGGTTCCATGGGTTCAAGCGGAGTCTCGCCGCCCCGGAATGCGCCGGAGGACGTCCAGCGATCTTTCCAAAGCTTCAAGGCATCGGGCTATCGATCGGTGTCTCGCAGCCTCACCGCTCCGTGTCTTTCCGTGCTGAGGTCGAGCAGAGCCAGGCCTTCGAGCGTCTCCTTGGTGAGCAGCAGCTCCTGGAGGATGCCGCGAGAGAGGGCCCTTTGTGCTCGCGACCGTCGTGTCTTTTGCATCCAGGATGCGCTGGCCTCCCTGGGGAAGCGCTTCGACAGCTGGGTAGGCGAGAGAAGTCTCGCATGAAGCCCATTTGAGCCTCTTGCTCGAAAGCAGGAGAGTCGCCTTCCATGCGGCAGAGGAGCCTCGACAAAGGTAGAACCATCAGGGGCGCATGCTTCGCTGGGGCAGAGTTATTTGGTAAAACATCGGTGAGCTCGAGTTCCTTGCCCATATTTACGGCCCAAACCGGTGGCCCACGAACTCCCCATGTCCAGCCCTCGAAACGGCCGAGTGCATCCCACAGTGTGAGGTGCATGAGGTGCCCGATCACATACAGCCTGGAGAGGTGGTGGCTAGCTGAAGGTTTCACAAAACATCACCGCACCACTGGGGGGCTACCTTTCTCCAATTGCCAGGATTTAGGATTGTGGGATGATATGCTCACTGTGTGCCAGGACCGGATCGCGCTCCAAGGACTCTCCGGCAAATGCTTTTCGCACCGCCTTCGGGAATACAGGCAGTGTCTCAGGGTCGAACGGCTTACACATTCGCCCATTGCAGTCATGTAGTTTAACCGACACCGCGCACAGTGTTGTGAAGAAGGAGAACCTGAATGATTCCGATGATCCACGAGGCCGCGTTGCTGCTGATAGGGTGCGACAGACTCAAGGTTGCTTCGTGACTAGTTGTACACTAGCATCATTGGTAAAAGGCCTGTGGCACGATGCGGCAGCACAACTTTCCCTCATCAATGCATGCAGAAGTGTCTGTGCAGAGCAGAGGCTTCATTTGTTCGTGAAAGTTGTAGGAATCCTATAGCTTCGCAAAGCACATGTGTCTTGCTGAGCTCGTTGCAACGGCCTTCTGTGTTGTCGCCAGGCAATGCATTCCTCGAGGCCGCCCAGCAGACCTGCCACACCAGTTGCGATGTGTGTCTCCTGTAGTTAGGGCTGTGCAATTCTTGCCGGATGTGGTCGTGGCTTTTAGATCTCGCATCGGGGCCGCAAGCGGGACGTCCTGGATTCAGTACAACAAACAGACACGAGGACCCCGAGCTGCTGCAGCTGAAGACGGAGCTTCGGGAGCTGGAGGCGGTCGAGGCTGGGAAAGGACCTTCCACCACGGCGCAAAGGAGTCCTAACCGCAACGAGCATCGATGATCCTGCTGATTCCTGCCGCTATCATTACTACTGGTGCTGATGCCGGTGCACCACCACCACCCTCCCTGTCGTCGTCGTCGTCGTCGTCGTCGTCGTTGAAAACGGCATCATCCTCAATACGCCGCCACATTGTGGCATTGTGGTGGTTTCCCTTGTCTTTTCCCCTTCGGACAAGGTTGGAAGAGCCAGCTTCGAGCCGCATTGCACGTTCTTTCATGTTGCAGGTGCAGGAACCCTCTTATGGCGGCTGGGCGGAGACGGACCACCAGGCCAGCCGGAGTTGAACACGCAGAGTGGTGGAACTGTGGCATCATAGAATCATACTTTAGCTATTCCAGTTCTGGCGGCCCCAGGTCTTCGTTCGGATCCTGCGAGTCTTTCGGATGCAGGCTCTGTAAGCCGCAGATGGAGAGCTGAGACTTTCTTCGCTCTTGCGAAGCACTGTAGACAAATCGGGGGAAATGTTCCTATGGGAAGCATAAGCTTCTCACTTGGGTGAAATAACGAGCCCTTTTCCAAGGTCAGATTGTATGAAGAATCCCTTCTGTTCCACGTTTTGAGCTGAAATCGACACCCCTAGAAAAGATCCACAGAGAGCTTGGCGAGGCAACGTCGCAGTGCTACGCTCGTTTGGCTTTTCAGTTTCCGGACTTGTCTGAGGCCCGCGATTTGTTCAAGTTATGGACTTGGGACAGCCTTGCTTTGCCTTGCGACGTGATTCCACCGTTGTAGTCACCGTTGTCATGAGGATGTTGTGGCTGTTGTTCCCTCCAGGCCTGTATGACCTCATGTTGTAGCAAGTCGCGTTGGCTTGAGGCTGCTCTGGCAGATCATGTGAAATGGTACAGTGACCATCAGGCGCGGCAGGCGCGACTCGGACTCCGTGGGAGAACTTTAGCTTGCATTTTGCGTTTTGCACGGGCATTCCCCCGTCAGAGGCGAGGCGACGCATGCTCTTGGCACGATGGCGGGAGCGCCGGTCCTTCTTATCCTCGCAGAGCCGAGCCACCAAACTGCACTTCAGAGTGGGGTGAGGGCGGCTTCGGCGGCTTCGGCTTCAGCGACGCGATTGCATCCGAAGCATTGACTGAGGCCAACGAAAAACGCAACCAGGCACCCGTTCGAGCTCCGACCTCGGTCCCAGCAGCAGATGAAGAAAAAGGCTCTTCCAACAAATTCCGAAGTCAGAATGAGACTGTCGTGACTTGAGCATATGAGCGACCTTGACTAGAAGCCGCACTTCCATGTTTGCTACACCTGGGGAGCCGTCTCACCCAGGAAATACGCGAACGGAGCCGTGACGAGCAGCGACGACGAGCTGGGGGCCAGGCTTTGCTGTCACATCATTTGCGAGCTGCGAAGCCTTTGCGCCCTTTGCGTCTCTGATCGCATCATTACTGCAGCATTTCTGGATCTTCCAAGAAACCCTTCATAGGCATCATGGGCGAGTCAGGGAATCAATGTCAAGGTGTTTGGAAGATCAGAAAGGTGTGAGAGGCAAGTGTTCAAGATGGTGCACGTGCAAACCCTAGGCCCCAGGTGCAGGTTTCACACTTGGTCGACGGTGTGTCGATCTTCAAATCATAAAGTGAATGCTGCCTTCGCGAGTGTTTGGTGCCTTCGCCCATGCAAATGTTCGAACTTCAGGCTTTTGGGTCTGGGGTTCAGAAACAAAGGTCTGGCACCAGTCATGTTCGCAATGCTCGTATCTTGCAAAGAGCGACCTTCTGATGCTCACTTGGCCTCTGTATAGTTGCAGAGGCTGCGACAACGGGCGTCTCGCAAAACTCGCCGTTGAAATCTCTTGCCGGACTTCGTCCGCATCATCACGTGTGTCACTGCTGAAGTCCGGCACTGCGCAGAGGAACCTTGCATGCGAGTCCTTGTCTTTCAGGTGGAAAGAGCAGCCTGCGGCACACATCCCCCGCACTGTACGTACCAATTCAAGAGAGGTTTTGACCGGCTTTGAGTAGAGCAGCTGACGCGAAGAAGTCGTTGAAATTCGAAAGTTGCTCTCCCAGCGGCAGAGGGAAAGGATTCATGTCAACAAATACTTTTTGACCAGTTTTCGGGCACCAGGCTCCGCCCCAACATGCACTCACAACTTTCTTTTTGCATGCTGTAATCCGTTCCAGTGGAGAGCATAGCCCTCCCATGATGTCCATCGTCTTAGATTTCCGGTTTGGGTGGAGAAGATCCATGGCCCAATGATGTGCAAGTGGAAGCATTCTTGAATGCCGACTCACAGTGGAAACATCTGTGCTTCTTCCCCCGCCAGTATTGCGTACACTTCTTGTCTAGAACCATTCAGCTTAGTGGTGGTTTTGGCAATGCACGATGCCGACGATGCCGTGTCCTGTGGCGTTTGCTGCCACGTAGGTGTGCACGTAGGCGCGCGGCAGCATCGGGGCGCGTCCTGGTACCTAATTTTTTTTTTTGGCCCAGGTCCGCGCCTGGCGAGAGGCACGGGAGGAGGAGGAGAATTTTCCGCATGGCGTCATATCAGGGCTCCGGGGTCGGTGCCGGGTTTGGAGACCTGGGCGCTGGACTGTGGAGCAGAGGAGAGCCGCCTTGCAGCGATGCAGCGGCAGGTCGAGCTGGAGCAGGTTGGAGTGTCCTGAGATTCCCTGGGAGCATCGGCATCGCGTCGCAGGCTCGAGAAGCGAGGAGGCGAGAGAAGCGGCACCAGAAGAAGCTGAAGGAGTTTGCTGAGGCTGCGAGCTGGAGCCAGATGAACACTGGGGGAGAAAGAAGCACAGAACTTTAGCAATTCTGAACTGTTTGCAGCATGCTCCCTTAATTGCACCGACATGCCGATATGATATGATATGTCATTAGCAACAAGCACTATCAGTGCTCCGTTTGTGTCTTCGAGCCTTGTCGTAGCCTTTGTAGGCTTACCGGAAGCAAAGGGACGAAGAGAAACGCCAGGCCCGGGATTACAAGATGATCTGGAATGTCAAGAGCATCCAGCAGCTACCAGTAGCACTTAGTTGCAGGGGCCGCGATGCTGGCAGGATGTCTGTGCAAACGTCCCGTGCTACTCGGAACTTTCTGCCGCCTTTGTGTGTGTAAATACATCTTTTTGCAATTCACGTATGCGTAGCCTGAGAGTAGCGCCATGGAGGTGTGGCAGCATGTGTCAACCGGCAGGCTGCGCAATGGCTGTCTTCTCAAGCTTCGCAGCGCGCTTTGTCTGAGGAGAATGGGAAATGGGCGAGTTCAGCCGATACACTGCCGATGCACTCACGCGAAGTGCAACTCCCAATCGTGTCAGTCACCAGGAGGATCGCCAGCGGATTGCCGTGCACTCAGACGAAGTTGAAGCTTCGATTCGGTTCTGCTTCTGCCGGAGACTTCTGCTTCAGCTGTACTGAGGTACAGCGAAACTTGGCCATGCTGACGAAGAAGATGCAGGTTCTGATGCGACTGGCTCTTCGAGGTTGGCTCCGTTGAAATCTGCGTCCTGGAGGCCATGCCGCGGGGTGATCCTCCGCAGGTCCAAAGGCACGGGCAAGCGGCTTTTTCATTCAACTGGGTGCAGTTGATCTCGCAGGAACCCTGCCTACGATCATGTCAAGAGCAGGCCCTGTGGAGTCGGTTGGGACCAGCTTTCCAAGCTGAAGCTGACGTTGTGCCAGGCTTCATGATCAGACGCGGAGCTTTGCACAGAAGATTGCACAGAAGGCCTCCCTTCATCTGCCAGACTTCAGAGGCTGTCGTTCAGTTCTACAGGTTCTGAAGCCGAATAATGTGCTGCCACCTTCGGCAATTGCACGCATCAAGTCCTTGAAACTTGAATGCCTTCGTTCCGAAGCTCAGCAGCAGGAAGACGAAGAGGAGGAGGCGCAGCAGTAAGGTGCTGCCCGCGCATGCCGAAGCCAAAATTGGCGCATGGCAAGGGCGGAAGAAACAGTGCGGATGCAACAACTGGGGCGTGCCGATCGCGATTCAAGCACGCGTGATCGCTCAAGCAGGTTCAGGGATTGGGGTCGCATGGTTTCTGCTGTTTGCTTTGCTTGTGATTTGAAGTATTGTTCTTGAATCATGGAATGTGAGATTAGTTCAGGGTTTGTAGTCTACTGTTTGTAAGGCTTCGTTTTTGGAGTTTTCGTTGTCAGGGTCGTAGGGGCTGAAGGTTTTCAATGTCTAGGGTGCCAAGATAAAAAGCCTTACAGATTTGAGGGTTCAGGGTGTCCAGGTTTGCGGGTCAAGGGTACAGTCGGTGTTCAGTTTAGTTGAGTTTCGGTTTTACCGCTCATGATTTGGGGCTTCAGGCTTGAAGTGTAGGGGTAAGGGTTTTGTGTTCTGGGTTTACAGGGTATTTCACGGTTTCTTGTAGGGTCTTTAACTCGCTCGTTTCCGTAGGTCCAGGGTTCTGGCTTTGCGGGTTCCGGTGTTTTAGGGTAATCGGCTTGCTTCGTGCGCGAGTCCGCCGTCCAGTGCGGCAAGTTTCCGTTGCAGGCACGAACCCCAACTTGGCGAACCTCACGGCATCTGTGTGCGAATCTGCTTTGTTTGCGTCTACAAACCCCCTGTGGAATCCGTTGGCTGTGCTGCCATGTAGATCTTCCGCTTTGCTTTGCATCAAGTCTCACTGTCACTGCGTGCAGTGGCAGCCACCACGAGGCAGAATGTACCCTTGCGGTCGGTGCCAGTCAAGCGAAGGGTGACGTTTGCTGGTTCACAACAGCCAATGTTCCAGCAATCAACCTCAGATCAGCAGCATGCTCGTGCTGAGCTGAACAAGAAGCGTACAACGTAGGCCGCAAGACTCCTCGGCGATGACTTCGAAGGTAGATCTAGTAACGTGTCTCTTGGAATGATATAGTAACTTGCAGAACTGGACAACCGTTCAGAGTGGTTCAGACAGTCCCGCATCTTAGCATGGATGCTGAGTTGCCGCGAGGTCCTGCTCTCAGTCTACACCAGGAAGACAAACGTCACTGTTTCCGAGACTGTCCGTCAGTTTTGCCTTGATTCGCAGTGCAGAAATCCAGGAATTGTCATGTCGCCAACATGTTGGTCGCCGTCCACGGATGATTAGGTCACAATGTAGTGATGCAAAACTGGCCGTTTGGTGTTCGAAGCAGTCCTGACTCAGTCGTGTTTTTGCATTGCCGCAGCCTGACCGGGCTCCCAGGCAAGTCGCAGCGCGACTGCGAGTTGAGATGCATGTGAGATGGAATTGAGCCTGGAAGCCTCGTGTCATACTCGGAATGTGTGGTCTGCGCTTGGCCCTGGGCTTTCTCGCCTGCTGGGCCCTCGCTTCTGCGCTCAGCGACGCTTTCGCAGAGCCGTGACCCGGCGAAAGAGGAGACTCCTTAACCTCAGTGGTGGGATCGTGTTGGATCGGTTCCGAGGTTGGCTTTGGAAGCCTCCACTGAAGTTCCCCTGCTGCTCTCCTTCACCACAGGCCGATGCGGGGGCTAGTTGTAAGAAAGAGTGTGGGATTGCACAGGAACTTATGCACACGTGTGCAGCTTGATTTGAACTATTCTTTGTCGTGGGAGGCAGCGTGTAGCAATTGAACTTCATGAGTGTGTAGCATCGTAAGAGCACTGTTTTTGGGTGGCGGCTTTTGCAGAAAAGAACCTCATGATTGTAACTTGATTCTGGGATTTGGCTTGTGGGGCCCCAACTGCTAAAGAAACAGCCAAGCGCCGGATCACGACTTTAGGAGAGCGACAAATCGGATTCGCATGCCGAGGCTCACATCCTGAGTACGGTGTGCCCTTCGAGGATGACGGCTCCACAAGGCTTTTCCCAAGTATGCAGCAAAATGCGGTATGTTCTCATACCCCGGCTGCCGGATGATATGCAGGATGATGGTCTCCTTCCAGCTGACCGTCTTCTGTCAACCTCAGCTTGAAGTTTGCCACCGGGCTAGATTCAGTGCACCCGAGCATGACATGGTTGGGAAAAAAAGCAGAGTGGGCTGCACAGGCCAGTATGTGGATCTGGGGGAGAACAGCAACTGTCGAAAGGCCAGCCGATGTTGTTTGGTGCGAACCAGGGCTCTACATATCAGTCAACCAAACATGTACATGTGTGCGGCCGTGCCGTGTAGACAGAGCCGCGGTGCAGGTCTTGGAAGCCCCTTTGCTGCCTCCGATTCAGCGCTGTACGGGCCTAATCCAATGTTATACCGGGGCCCCGGGCCCGAGCAGCAGTGACAAGGCGTGAATGGGCCGTTTGGCATCATGACCTTGGAGCTCCGGGGTACTTTGACAAGAAGCACACGACCCTCAGCTCAACAAAAGTAGATGCGCGCATGTCCTATGTAGAGCGGTGGACAACAAGAACAGTATCCAAGAAGGAGAAGTGGTTCGAAGCATCGAGGTTCATAGACCCCAGTCTGCTTTAAACTTAACCACAGCTGATTTGAAAAAGCAGCGCTGCTCGAAGGGTACGACCTGCTGGTTCTGGCCACGCTGCCTTCATCGGGCAAACGCATCCAGACCTTCATTGTGCGAACACTTCCTGCAGGCACGCTGATAGCTGTGTGAAGCAGCAAGTTTTACGATCAGCACGTCCATGCATCCACTCCGCAGCAAGTCTTGGGTGTTTGTCCTGCTTTCAGGTGCATATCTCGATGTGACGCAGGTCACCGCACTGGAGGAGGCCACCGTGCAGATTGCAGCTTGGCAGAGGTGTGCGGATTTGTGCGGTATGCCTGCTGTCTCGCAACGCCGCCAGCAACGCCAATGCCAAGGTCCCGGAGTATGTGACCAAGGCACCAGGTAGCAAGTACGTCACAACCTTCCAGGACGTCGTTCCCCAAGTCGCTCGGCCCTGCCTTCAGTGCATACTTTCAAGCAGCTTGAAGCATCGCGAGTCATCTGCAGCAGTTTGTTGGATGAACCCTGCTCAAGTCCGACTGCGGCACCATGCGGCACCCCACTGCGTCTTTCAGCCGTGTCCGCCATTCATTCGTGTATGCTTCCTGTCAGCTGATGCTTTGCACATGACATCATGAAGTCGATCCTTTCTTGCGAACTGCCTTTGTAAGCTTAGTCGCTGAGTCTTACAAGCCGATCCTGTTCTGCACTTTCTCCGGCTTCTGGCACGGCTCCAGGTAGCGAGTCCTGGAACCAATCTGCACCAGCGGCTTTGCTGCTTTGTGTGCTGTGCTTTTTTTGTGAGGCGTTCGGGCTGCATTGCAGATCGACTAGGTCTTGTCTGACACGAGGTACAGCTTCATGCTGGCCGGCTCCAGCAATCCGTTTGTGGCTGGCGATGAGTGCCCTGGCTCGAAATTTGTGGTGAATCTGGATTTCAGTCCTCGTATGTGGCGCTGTGATGATCCGAACATGTTCCGGCATGTTGTGTCTATATGTGTCGATGAGCTTGCACTCATGCATTGTTGTCGTCTTGCAGGGTAGTGTCGGCTGTCTGACATCTGCGCGATGGAGTAGATTAGCATAGCAGGCATAGCATGGCATAGCATGCTTGCGGCATGGCTGAGGTTGGAAAGCATGTTGTTTGATCGAAGGATTCGTATCTTCTCATCCCCCTTCCTCTTCGCAGACGAGGGCCTGAGCTTTGGCGGCTTCTGTCCGGGCTTCGACGTTGCCGGGTCCTGCTTGCCTGTTGCAAAGGGGGACAGCGGGGCGGCAGGGCTGACGCGCACTCCGTATTTGTCAACGCTTTGGTCCCGATCTCGAAGCCAACAGAGAGAGGCAGAGAAGCAGAGCCTGTTCCCAAAGAGACAAGTCTCCCCGAGCCTGCAAGGCCAAGCCGTGAGGGTTCTTCTTTTGCCTTTGCCAACCCATGAAAAGACAGGGGCGCTCGCACGAGGGAGATGCTTTTGCAGGTTTGCTGATCCGCTGATGCATGCCACCTGCACCATCGAGTCCATGCCCGAGGACTGCGCGGAAGACAGGGCGGAGGTGTAGCAAGGACAAACATGCTCAGTTCTGTCGGCACTTGCGAGGATGGCCGTGCAGGCTACAACATGCTGGTGCTGCGCTTTAGTTCTGGAGCTTCCTTGGGCACCACGGCACAGTGCCTGTGAAGCACTGCAGCCGCAACTTGCAACAACTACTAAACAGTGCTGTTGCTTTCACGCGCATTCTGTCAAGGTACTTCCGTGTATCGCTTGCGACGGCAAAAGGCCGGGCTGACTTGTAAGATCTCTTGGCAAAGCAGGCCTGCCCAAATTCGGTGCTCTTTTGTCTTTCGTATGTTTGCAGCTTGCAAGCTGGGGTTTGAAGGTGGCTGTTTCGTTGATGAATTCGAGCATAAGCTGGGTTTGTTTTGTTGTCTGTTGTTTCGTGTGTTCGCTGCGTTTGCTTTGTTTCGTGCAGTCTGACATCTGTGTCCTGGGTTTCTTGCTTGGTTGGGTTTGCCTTGTTTCGCGCTGTCTGGCTCCTCTGCACTGGGTTTCTTGTTTGATCGCACTCCTGTGTCCTGGCTATTTTTCTTTTCCGGGGTCCGCTAGATACGAAGAGAAGGGCAAAGGGTGTTGTCAGTTGCCGTTGCTATCTGCAGATAGTCGGTACCCGAGTGAGATGACAAACAGTTTGTAAACGATGCTGCGTGTGCAGCCATCCATCCCCCGTCTTTGAAACGAGACGCGGAAGTCTGGCGCGGAAGGTGATGGTTCGATCGGCTACTGGTATGCGGCTTCTCGAGATGGAGCAGCGGTCTTCGACAAGGCCTCCCGGCGGTAGGCTTCCCGAAGTATCACCGAATCGAACCGGTACTGAGGTGATCGCGGCTAGCCGACCTTTCTTTGTGGAACCTCAAGTGGATGTCTTGGCGTGCATCCCAGTGTCAATCGAAAGCCTTCTCGTGACCACCCAAACCGTTGAATGACGCCCGGTACAGTACTTCGGGCAGTCTGTCAGACGAGAGGAATACGAGTAAACAGTGTTACGGCTGATCTTCACCAACATGTGGAGAGAGTGTGGCTGAGGCGAAAGCCAAGTTAGGTCTGCCTCGAGTAATTACCACGCTTTAGCCAAATGCTGGGGGCTTCAGCTAATGTCTGGTTCGGGGTCTGCACTTTTACTCTAAGGGCCCATCGGAGCGCAGAAGAACAGCACTCAGATAGCGCCTGTAAGACCGCTCAGCACAAGCGAGAGAGCGGTGCACACTGCTTTTTGTCCAACGCTCCGCCAAAACGTGGCTTAGAGGGAACAGATCCATCTACACCTACTGTATCTGTTTGTCGGTTTAGATGTGACCGACTGAGGCTCCAGGGTTTGCTTCGGCACTGACCACGTTTGCAGCCCGGCAGCCGCTGCAGCTGACAGTGTTCCCTCGGGTGGCCTGGATGCTTCAAACTTTGGAGGGCCTTGGAGAAGAGCTTAGTTCAAAGATCATCGTAGTCGTAAAGTCGTAAAAGGCTGGTAGTGGCAAGACAGCTTCCCGAGGTTGATAGGGATACATTCCGCAGGAGGTTTCTTCGTGTTGCATGGCGTCGTCCACCTGCCGGCATATCACAGCGTTGAATATGTCTCTGCATGCGCTGCTTATGTGCTGCACAAATACGGTGCTGTGCAGGTGAACATCCTCGGGTCGACTGCAAACCCGGAGAAACTGCGTGTGATCTCGCCGACGTTCCATAGCATCACCTCCTGTTCAGTCGACTCACCTCGGCCCGATTCTTGACGAGCTTCACACAAACTTGCAGTGAGGTTAATTTGTATGTGAGCATCGTCCTCGCCAGTGTTTGCCAGCCAAGGAGGTGCAGCTGGTAGGCCTTTTCGCGGCAGCGTATTGCGAGCTCTTCTTCGAGGCCACTCATCAGAGATGCAAAACATGCCTATAGAACTCCAAGCATCTGTCTCCACAGGACAACCAAAACCTGTACGCTCACCAAGCGGTTCGGATCAACCTGGACGTTACAAACCCGGAGGCCCACAGATGGATAGATGGCAGGGCTTCGGCTCGGAGCGGTACATTTGCGGCCTCTCACAGGTGGCGCTCCCAGCCGAAGACTGGCAGGCCCGACTCTCCAAGTTTATAGAAGTGTTCATGACGTGGGCAATGCGACTAAGCGCAGGTGATTGTCGAATCTGCGGACGGTTCTATGTCTGCGACAACCCTGCTTCGTGGATGGCCTGTTGTGGCAGCGCTGCAGCAGGCACGCTTTGCTCGTGTTTCGGTGGACTTTGCTGTGCTCATGCGGCCAGGCTTTCCTTGTGCCGATGACGACGCTGGATGTGGATATAATCGCTTGCATGCGTGTTTGTGCGTGCGCACCTGTACATGGTGATAACTAGCGGCTAGCGTGATTTTTCCTTTCCTCGCACGCTTGTATCTTCCAGGATTAGCAATGCCTTGCCATGGTTTCTTTTCTTTTCCGTTTCCTTCGAAGCATGAGTTGTGTTATTGCCCGGGGCAGCGGAACCTTGTCTGCCCAACGAAGCTCTCTGCAATGGTTCAGGGTCTTAGGGTGACTCTGAAATACCTGCAAACAAGCTGGACAGGACCCCGGAGGCTTTTCCTTTTCTCGAAATTTAGTTTTCCTGCATTCATGCGCGGCTGCTACAATCTGATTTCCTTGACAAAACCCTGTGTGGCACGCGGCATTTACTCTTGCTCAGACTGAGTGCGTGTCCAAGTCGTGACGCTGCACAGGTATCACAAGTGATTCGGACGTGAAGGATTTTCTTATTCGCTGTGGCTCCAAATCAAGACCGGGGTTCTGTCATTCAAGGAGTAACCCATCCATGTTGCTAATCATTCAGTTCATTTGCGCGCTTGTTTTTCTCCTTCTCTCTGTCTCCGTTCCTGCCCGTTTCACTCTCTCTCTCGCTCTCCCCCTACCTCTCTCACTCTCTCTCTTGCTCGCTGCTTGCCTTAACCTGGACCTAGCAGCCTATGCCTTGAGATTCTGATTTTGACAGTCCGCGAAGAACCTGAATTCCGGAATTCAGTTGTCCTGTTCTGACTTTCATTAGTTAGCATCGGGCATTCGGTATTGCCATTGCTTCGTGAGTCATGGCGAGGATGGAATTCGCCAAGTGGAACGAGGTCCAGCTCTATTTCAAGCCACGCAGCTCGACTGCAGGAAGCCATTCGCATGCATTCAACTGGGGCGACTCCTCTGAAGCCTGCATGCTTAATACAAAGCCGTTGAGCGCTCCAGGTAGCAACTCGCCGGAGGACCGCGGGCCCGAGTTCGAGGCTCAATCTGCTGAATCAAGCACCGTGTTTTGGTCAGGAGGCACGGGCTTTGCTTGTGGCGCCATCGGCATTCCGCTTTGAGACTTGGCCGAAGTAGCACCGTATCGTGATTGTGCATCCGCACGCTGCTGCGCGGGCTCTAACACTGGAGATGCCTGCAACGCTTGGCATCCACGTGCAGCAGAGCTCTGATGTGAGAGAGCAGTCGCCATTGCATGCAGTTTTATTGGGTCAGTGCATTCGCGACCGCACGTAACCTGGTGACAGGAAGTTCCATGCGCCTTCGAGATTTCGGCAGGGTTCCCCGATCCCGGAGTTACATGCAGGAGCCTCAGTTTCGAGAGTCATTGCTTTGCGATCAGGCCGGCATAGCTTTGGCTCTGCTCGGCTTGAACAGGTTCGAATCCTCTCTCCGACGTCGGCCGCAATCTCTTCTCCCTGCAGTTGCCGATGCTTCTCTGCTGTGAACATGTAGCATGTAGTTTTGTTGAGTGCCAGGGAGGGGAGTAAAAGGGAGGCATTGGGCTGTCTTGTGGAGATCTATTTCGATCGAGTGATAAGGCATCGGTTTTCCTTCAGTCCGACCATGCACACAAGATCAAGGATAAATCGTTCAAAGCATTAAATGGTGTGATTTGCTGCAATATGTCTCCCAGCAGCCAATCCGAATCATGCTTTTCGAGGTCGGTGGCCTTTTTTGCAGACACCTTTTATGCTGCGAATGTGTTCCCGTTGCGGAATCCCTATCCGGGCAGCTTCTTTGGCCTGGATGACTTACCTTGGAGGACATGCGGGTCGGGCTTGGGTAGCTAGTACACCTCGTGGGCCTTGCGATAGGTTCGGTTTCGCACGGTGCCTGGCAGGATTGACATCCTTACGAGGAATGGTGAAGTACTGGAGACATCCCGAATCACGGCAGCGAAGCGAAGACATCTAGAAACACCCAGTAGAATGTTGCCTTCTGATGCTTCTGTATGCTCGGGTGCAAGGAAGCATCCCCTTCGGCCCGTACTTGCAGGGCTTCAGTATCTACCCGCGAGTGGCGCCATGCTCAGACCAACACCTGTTTGACCATTCACTTATGTGTTTCCTCAGTCCTTTTAGTTTGACTTCAGGTGTCTGCAGGCTTGGTGCAACCAGCAGTTCGGGCGCCGTCCGTGCAGAATGTGGTGACGTTGCGCTTTCGGCTGGCTGTGCCTTGGGCAGACTGGCGCTGGCATTGATTGCACAGGACCGCAGAGCCCCTCGTATCCGTCCGAGCCCTTTCGGCGTCTCAGGTCGCCATATCGGTCCATGGCGAGCGGCTCCGAATCACAGCACCTCATGGCTACCGCTGGCCAATAGGTGCCAAGGAGAACGAATTCAGGGAGTCTCTCTGCAAGGCTAAAATGCTCAAGGTCGAATATGCCATGTTAAGGTGGAGGCAATTCCTCGCAGTGTATGCGCGTGGGGCAGTTGTGCTGTGCGGACAGTTGCGTGATAACTGGCGAGCGATGCCAATGTGCCGTTTCGCTCAAGATTGCAGGCGGTGATCCGAAACTCTTCGTGAGGGAGTCGCCTGTGACGCTGTCTACGTTGGTCTACGACCCGCCCCCTGTCTGCGAGCAGAAGTAGCCTGATCATAGCTGTTTACTTGAAAGATGAGAGTATGAAGGAATCAGAATCGGAGCATATGGACGGACAATGCCCGCACCGCCAACAGCAAACGCAAAAACGCAGCTCGCCAGTCACTTGTTACAGGGTTCGGAGTTGATTTAACCCAAATTATTCCCTCAACTGGCTGATCAAAGTTCAGAATCGGCCCCTCAATTAAAGGCTGTGGCCTTTCCCCATGATTCCGACCGCTGAATCATGGTTTCCTGCAGCAAAGCTTCAGCCCGGAATGGCGAACATACATGTTTTCGAGAAGTGGCCATCCATCGTTCGGTTTAAGTTTGCGGATTCGTTTCGGGCGTAGGGATGTCATCAGTCCTTCGAGGCGTTGCAATCACAGCCAGCCATGATGCATGCATGTTCATGTTTCTTGCAGAAAGTCTGCGTGTTTGCAGTATCATGTTTACATTGTTTACATGTTTTTCTTTTCCCGTGTCCGGTTTCCGACCGCCGGGCTTCGACGAGTCATGTTTCCAGCAGCAATACTACAGCCATAAAAAGCGAGCACACATGTAAACAAGAGGTGGCCACACATCGTTCGGCTTAGGATTATGGGTTCGTTTCGGGCTAAGGGATGTCATGAGTCCTTCCAGGGGTGAGCAACCAGCTATGATCTAAAGGCTTTATGAGGGACCCTTAATAGGGACCCTTGTAGGTTATTGGGGTTAATATGAAGACTACCTGACTATATAAGGGGTATATAAGGACTATACAATGCTTATTTAAGGTAATCTGATTAAGGGTCCCTATTAGGGGTCCCTCCTAAAGCCCTTAGATATGATGCATTTTCTCGCCAGGTGTTTCGGGCTTTAGATGTTGTCGTGCTCAGAGTCGCAGAGGTCGTCACAAACAACTCATGTTTCTTCGCGAAATGTTTGCGTTATTGATGCATCATGTTCAGCGCTCTTGTGTTCACTCAGGTTTTGTACGTGTCCGGTTTTCGACAGTCTGCCTTCGACAAATCATGTTTGCTGCAGAGAAACTGCAGCCATGAAAAGCGAGCAGGCCTGTTCTCAAGAGGGAGTTGCGTGTCATCACTTCAGCCATGATGCGGGCTCTTGGGCTTTGCCCGCTTTAGGGTTCGCGGCTCGGCAGCCGTCAGTCGTTGTCGGGTTTGAGGCCTGCGTGGGTTTTGTCATCCATATTTGTTAGTTTTGCGCTGTAAAATCTTTCACTTGCATTTCGGTTGCAATTGCATAAGTCGTTGTGCAGACTGTTTGCGGGTTGGATGTGGTGCTGGTCGTATTATCTTTTGTTGCCCACGTGTCCTTTGCGTGTTTGTTCGTGTGTTTTTGTCAAAAAACTTACACAACTCGGGCATATGTTTACAGCTCTTGATTTGCCCATGGTTCTGTCCGGTGTCCGACCGTCGGCTTTCGGCGAATCATGTCTCGCAGCAGCGAGCGTACATGTTTTCAAGAAGTGGCCGTCCATCGTTCGGTTCAGGGTCGCGGGTCCGCTTCGGGTTTAGGGGGTGTCATCACTCCTTGCAGGGGTGAGCGGTCAAGCGCAGGCAGCCATGATTCACGTTCGGGCTCGTGGGCAGCGCGGGTTCCCCGATGTAGGGTTCAGGGCTTGTCACTCAGTCTCGTCGTCGGGCTTCGTCCTGGCTCCGTCGTCCTTCGACAGATCATGTTCCAGTAGCAAAACTGCAGCCATGAAGTCGAGCATTCATGTTTTTTCAAGAGGTGGACGCGCATCATTCGGTTTGGGGTTGCGGATTCGCTTCGGGTTTAGGGATGTCATAACCCATTGCAGGGGTCAACTCAAGCCGGACATGATGCACGTTCGCGCTTGCGGCGCGATTTAGGGTTTAGGGCTTGTCAGCTGTCCTCCGTTGTCGGGTTTGGGGTTTGTAGGTGTTGTTATCCACAAAAGTCGTTACAAGCAACTACTTGCAACTATTTGTCAGTTTTGCGCTGTAAAATGTTTCATTTGCATGTCGGTTGCAACTGTGTAGGTCGTTGCACAGTCACAGAATATTTGCAGGTTGGATTGGGTGCCGGTCGTGTTCTTTCTCGTCATGCTGTTGGCAGAAGTTCTTCGTGCTTGTTGCATCATGTTTACCATTCTTGTTTTCCCATGGTTTTGTCGGGTTTCCGACTGTCGGCCTTCGACGAACTATGGTTTCCCGCAGCAAAACGGCAGCCATGAAAAGCGAGCATGCATGTTCCCGAGAGGTGGCCGTCCATCGTTCGGTTCAGGGTCGCGGATTCGCTTCGGGTTTAGGGGTGTCATCACTCCTTGCAGGGAGGGTATCACAAGCAAGCGCTTGTCAGACTTGTGTTGAAACATCTTTTTCTGTGTCAGAAATTGCACAGAAGTGTTGCAGGTTGGATCGGGTGCCGTTCGTTGTCGTCGTATCGTTGCCCATGTCGAATGTGTCCTTTGCATGTTTGCTCATGTCTGCTGTTGCAGACGATTCGTGTGATTGCGACATCATGTTCACGCTATTGCTTTTCCCGTGGTTTTGTTGTCCGGTTTACGACCGTCGTCCTTCGACAGATCATGTTCTAGTAGCAAAACTGCAGCCATGAAGTCGAGCATACATGTGTGCGGATTCGCTTCGGGTTTAGGGATGTCATCACTCTTTGCAGGGGTCAAGCCAAGCCGGACATGATGCACGTTTCGCGCTTGCGGCGCGATTTAGGGTTTGAGGTTTGTGGGTGTTGTTATCTGCAGAGGGCGTCATAGCAACTAGTTGTCATGTTTGCGTTGTACGATCTTGCATTTGAGGGTCGTGGAGTCGCTTCCGGTTTAGGGGTGTCGAGGGTGTCACTCCTTGCAGAGGAGTGGGGTCAAGCGCATTCAGCCATGCTGTGTTTTGTGTTTTATGGGAGCGCTTGTTTCAGCCATGAAGAGCGAGCAAGGCTATGAGGTGGCCAGCCACGTTGCGGTTTAGGGTTTCAGGTTCGCTTCGGGTCGAGGCGGTTTAGGGTGAGGGATATCCTGATTAATTTCCAAGAGTTCGGGGGCAGGTGCAGCCAGCCTTGATGCGGTTTCGGGCTCATGGGCAGCCAGAGGAACGCCGATGTTGGGTTTGGGTCTTGTTCGTTTTCGGGCTTAAGCCTCGTTTGGCTTTTGTCAACGGCAGAAGTCTTCGCGAGTCAGCTTTCTTTTGAAATATTTTGCCTTTCCCTATCGATTGGGTTCATGCGAAGCTGTGTGCAACATCATTGGATCGATATTTCTTGTTGTCCATATGCCCTTTTGCAGATTGTTCAGCTTTTTTGACAGAAGCTTCGCGTCAACATGTTTGCAGCTCTTGACCTCGACGGAGGTTTTCTCCCAACACAGCTGCAGACACTTTCAACTTGCCAGCAAGCTTCCAGCCATGAAAAGCGAGCGTACATATTTTTGGGAGTTGGCCATGCTATTTGGGGT